TTCCCTACATCACTTGCAACAATATGAACCTACACTCTTTTTTCTTTGCTTTTCATCAAGTGATAAACACTTGTTGAGCCATTCTGTTAGCCAGATACTATTGATTTAAAAATTTAAGCTAACTGGAGTGAAAAGCCACACTATTCTAGTATTGTTACCAAAGTACTAAATGTATAGTTACACCTCAATAAAACCTCTTGTTCGAGACTGCAACCTGTGGATGTACAAGATTTTGATAAAATAAGACACTCAAAATTTGGTATATAGAGCACAACCTACCACCTGTGTACTAAGTAAAATCCAATTTGGCATTCAGGATTTACATCCTGAATTTATAGATAGCAAAGCTGATGCCACCCATGCAAACAGAATAATAACAACCCCAAACCCAGTTAAGACAAAAGCTGGGCCAACAGTTTTGCTCAGTTTCAAGTAGCACCAACTAGAGGGAAAAGGGAGTGGGGGAAGAAGCAGCTAAATCAGGGAAGACTTACATTCTGCATCAACCTTGAACAGACAAAATCCAGAACCTATGGAAATCAACCACATCAGGCAAATTAATTGAGATGCCCATCCTTTTCTGTTGTACAAAAGGGTTAGATGCACACAGCATTCACTGAATGTGTTACAATGACGAAAATTTGTACAATCTGCTCAGAATTTAAATAATAAAGAGTGAGGACATGAATACAGAATATCATCCCAATTTTCACAGCTCAGCACTACACAAGAAGCAAACGAATAGTTTTCTGAAACTACTTGTAGACATTTAGTAAATCCTCTGCCCCATGCTTACATTCTCTACCAAATTATAACAGAGATTTGTGTTTGGTTTCTTAGGTAAATATATTTCCTCCCATTGCATACTCTTCCACAAGCATGAATATACGAGATAGAAAATGCCAAAAAATTTTCTTAGTCTAATTATTGCTTTCACTAGAGAGTTGATTTTTACTACAACTTGCATATGGTGAATAAAATGAATAGATTAACAGTTTTTAAGATAAGCAGTAACAATTATTTGGGGGCAATAAGGGAGAGATGCGGCAAGCAGTGTGGTCACAATTGAAAATTTGATTAAACTACAGTAAACTTCTCCTTGAAAAGATCAGTGCATCAGTTGAGCTTTAGTCAGCCACATCATCCTGTAAATTGCTTTCAAGATAAGCCAGTAGATAAATTCTCTTTGTAAAGATCTGTTACTTCAGAACAGTCCTCCTACAGGCAGAAACATGGCACTTAATGGTACCTGGAAAATAGACAGAAATGAAAACTATGAAAAGTTCATGGAGGCCATGGGTAAGTCTTACTTTTCCAATGCCTTCTACAAAAATAATACCACTATGGCTGGATACAAAATTCAGCTGTCTAGCAACTACCTCGTAGCTAGCCTATCTTTTTGCTGTTTGCTGTTCTGCCCTTACATAGTGCACTACATTTATTTTCAAAAGATTCCACAGGGGGAGGAAAGACTGAGAAATGTTCTGATTTTAATTACACTTGGTTAATCTTAAGAAATTTAACTAATTCCACAGATTTAGTTCAGCTGAGAAAAGAACCTCTAAGTCTCCATTTAAGGAAAAGGCTAAGAGAATTTCAATTATCAACTTTAAGCAGAATTCTATGGCAGGATTATTATTTTGATAACGTGAAACTAGTTTAAAAATTGCATAGGGAGGAGATAATAACTCTTCAGTTTTATAGAAACACATGATTCAAATAATTTTCACATCCTCATAGTTAAAGTTTCTGCAAACTATGAGTTACATGGATATACGCATAACCATCCCAATTGGTTTGTATTCTATCTGTAGGAGTGAATACAGCCCAAATAAAAAGTGAAGAATTAAAAAAAAAAAATTGTGTCAGAATGCTGGAATAAATTTGCTTGACCAGATAAAAGTAATTAAAAAGAGATTAATATCATGCTCCAGGTGGCTTTTTTAACTGATTGATGTTCTTCGCTTTTTCTAGGTGTTAACATGATGAAAAGAAAGTTAGGAGCCCATGATAATATGAAGCTCATTATCCAACAAGATGGAAACAATTTTACTGTCAAAGAATCAAGCAACTTCCGTACCATAGAAATTACATTCACTCTGGGAGTCAATTTTGAGTACAGTCTGGCTGATGGGACTGAACTTACTGTAAGAGACTTTCTAGATAATTATATATTTAGTATAATAACTTTATGAAGTACAGTTTCAAGATGAATTATTTGTCTTCCTAGATTTTAATTTAAATTTTACTTTTAAAGTGTGACTGTTCAAGAATGCTTGCAGTTTATATGCAAAACCACAAAGTAGTCTTAACCATTAACAGTTCAGTACTTTACTGTGAAATTCAGGATTCCACAGAGAGCCCAAAAAGCAGAGAATGTAGCAGTTTTCACATGATGAAATCCAGGTGATTGCAATTTTACTTCTTGTAATACTCAAGTACAGCACCTAGAATGCCAGAGTGCTGAGTGGATATTTGTAAGAAATTACTTTTTCTCTGTTGATACAATTAATCAAAATGAGGTGTACTGAGCACTAAAATAAAGAAATAATCTAGCTGGAGTATTCTGCAATTAAATAATTTAATAAACTAGTCGTTATTCACATTTCATTTTTCAGCCTTTCCATCAATGTCAAAAAAAAGCATTATTACACTGTTTTAACCTCTTCTCACTTTTAAGCATTCCTGAAGCCTTTAAATCAAATCCGTGTTATATCTGTTGTAAAATATTTGGGTCGGATTTTTTCCCCATTATAGGGTTCTTGGAACATGGAAGGAAATAAAATTGTAGGAAAATTTACTAGAAAAGATAACGGAAAAGTACTCACAGCATCCAGAGAAGTCATAGGTGATGAACTTGTCCAGGTGAGTTAAACAGTCACATGTAACTTTACAATATGATTAACTGAAAAAATGTTAAAAGCTGCTCTCAAAGAAGGAAATAAAATTTAAAAAAAAAATTGAAACCAGTTCTCAAAGAAAGATTTTCTTCAAGTCAAACAACCTAATTTATCTTTAGTCAAAATTTTCAAGTTGAGTAATCTATATATAGATGTGTTTTTACTGAAGGCCTTTTCCCAAGTGCCTTGTAACAGCCTTACCACAGGAGCTTACTACAAGGTAATGCTGTCAGTGGCTGATAAATCCCCTTTTAAAAAAAAGTTTGGGGTTGGGGCAGGGGATAACAGCACAGAGGAGTAAGTTTAAGACAGAAATGAAATGTTTCACAGTTCTGAGGTAAAGCCAGAAATGGAACTATAATGCTTTAAGATCCTTTCCACTAGTGGGTCACAAACTTCTGAGAAGAATAAAGAAATAAAAAAAACCCCTATGTTATGATAAGGTGTGAGATATCAAAAACATAAAATACAACCCTTCCGTGTTTCTTCACAATTCTAATAAAAGCAGTCACATAAAGGAAACTTGTGAAGTAGTGATTTGGGAACGTGGCACTTGAACTCTGGGTATTTTCTGAATCTGCCAAATGTTGTCCTGTGGCCGTTCAAATTTTTGCATAGAGAATTCATGCCCGTTGACAACAAGCTGCTTTCCCCAGAGTCTGTACAGGGGCTGGTAGTCCCCACATGGCCACCAGCCACAATTAAATCACTATTGATCATGTCTCAATAGCATCTGTGAAATGAAACTTTGTAATAACACCACTGATTTTTCTTCTTAATTTCTTAACAGGTCTATGTATATGAAGGAGTTGAAGCAAAAAGAATCTTCAAAAGAGGCTAACTACTTTACCCAGAACCAAAAAACAATGAAAAATGACCATTTTTCTACATAGCCTTGTATCCCCTCACAGCAGCTTTTAAGCTGCAACTACTTAGCCCAGATGAAAACAGAGTAGTTTCTTTTGTTTACTTTTTTGCCTTGAATAAACAAAATCCAATTACAATTTGATACATATGCTAAAACATTATTTGTTCTGAGTCCTACCCAAGTGCTATACTCTAAAAGGCTGCAGAAACTATCTTCTATAAGCAGAACTTAAATATTTTTTGCACTGGTTCTCAAACAGAAATTTAGCTTATTTACTGTATTATTTCTATTCATAAACAGTTTCTCTGCCTATTGAATATTGTGTAATACGGACGGCAAAACCCAAAAAAACCCTGACAAGACCCAAGTCTCTAAGACTATTGTATGTGATATGGAATAAACATAAAATGTGGTGTGAAAATACAACTCACAAATAATGTTATTTTCAACCCAGCCTCACCTCTCGAGTTGCACTGTTTCTAAGGGTTGCAGTAAAACTGCCCCTCGAGGTTCAGTACTAGTTACTATCTGCTGTGTCCCTCTAACTCTGCCCCTTAGTGGTCATCTACTCCTGTTCTTGTATCTGCAGGGCAGCCTGTTTCCCAGCCCTGAACCCCTTCTCACATATCAGCAGAACAAACCTGCAGCCAGCAGTGAGCATCTAGATAATCTTCTGCCATGTGCTTATTCACATGCTGTTACAGGTCCAATTTAAAATATAATTTCTGAACAGGTACACTTACATTATTATTATTTCATTGGTTTTTTAAAATACCTTGCAAAATTTACTCTCCTGTTTTGTCTCTCATTGACTGTGTTCTTACTGGCCATAAATGAATTTTAAAAGAATTCCTTTTTATTTTTTTAATTTTTTTTTAGTAATAACTGAATCCTCTCCTAGTCCGTATTTTTTGTGGTCTTCAGCGTCTCACAGCTCCCTCTACTGCCAAAATGCTTTCATGTCGCAAACAGTATTCGAGTTAGGAGTAGCACAGATCACCCTTCTTAAAGAAATTGGATTTCCTCTCCCACATATTGATTGTATGCAACTTCCAGCTTATACATTTTTTACATATTCACCTTCCAGTGAGTAGATATACCACATATATAAAAATGACGAGAATACTATTTTAATCAGTCCTTCAATTTTCAATTACAAAGAGATGTAAAACTGAAAAGCAAAGGTACAAAAAACTAAAAAAAACCCACAACCAAACAAAAACTACACACTAAATCCGGAAACAACACTATTACATAATTCTGACTGTCTACAGGCCATTTTGTTTACATATAAAACCCCTTAAAAGGGAAAAGGGATAAAGAATACTGGCTTGCATTAAGCTATGTGACAGATGCTTTCAGTTAAGCTATGAATGCTGAAAAAGAAGCCCTAACCACTGAAGTGCTGTTACAGAATTTGACCTTCATTATCAGCTGCATGTCATTATTGCTTCTAAATTGCATTGAAGCATATTAGCAATGACACATCAAAGGTTTCAGGAAATTGGAGAATGCCACTTTCTTTTACAGATTTTACTGGCTGGAATGAAAGGTGTATTGAGCTCCTGACTATGTTCTCTTTCCTCCTCAAGTACGCTGACCTTTTATGTCCTGCAGCCTTCTGGTTCAGAAAGTCAAACTCTAGCCCATACCTGGTGTCAATGCACTTAACTCTGCTACACCCAGCTCAGTAACAAACATCCTGATTCACTGTTATTTTGATCTAGGTTACCGAATTTTATTGACTGAATGATTGGCTACAATAACCAGTAGGGTATTTTTTTTCAATGAGTATTTGAAAAATCATTTCAGTTAATTCTGAATTACATACAGGGCCGGAAGCTAAAAAGTAGTCTGATAGTTCTTTACATTAAATGAGCTGTAACCATTACCAACGGTCACTCGCAGAGGTGAATAGCTCTGGTGCAGGCACGTCCGCAGCGGGGTAGAAAATCGGCGAAAAAGGTTTTTTTTCCGGAGCTTCCGGACAGCGCCAGAGGACAGGCAGCTCCTCAGAGGGCTGAGGAGGCGGCATGGGCGGAACCAGCACTCTGGGCAGCAGATGCAAATGGTCCGTAATTGTTACAAACAGCGTAGGGTGCGGTGACCACAAATGTTGGAATTCAGGATCTGTAGGGCAACAAGCAGGGCCCGCAACAAGCTCACTACCCTCAACTTCAGGAGAGCAGATTTCAACCCCTTACAGAGATCTGGTTGGTAGGATATCACGGGATAAAATCCTGGACTGGAGAAAAGCCCAAGAATGCTGGTCAATATTCAAAGATTACTTCCTCCAAGCCCAGAAGCAAAGCATCCCAAGAAAGAGGAAGGTAGGCAAGAATGCCAGGAGACCTGCTTGGATTAACAAAGAGCTCCTGGACACTCTTAGATGAAAAAAGAAAGTCTTCAGAGGGTGGAAGCAGGAACAGGTAGCCTGGGAGAAATAACAAAGAACTTGTCCAAGAAACAAGGGATCAGATTAGGAAAGCTAAAGCCCAGAGAATTAAAACTGGCCAGGGACATCAAGGGTAATAAGAAGGGTTTCTATAGCTACATCAGTGGTAAAAGGCAGAGGGAAAACGTGGGCCCTCTCCAGAAGGAACAGACCTAGTCACACAGGATATGGAGAAGGCTGAGGTACTGAACAACCTTTTTGCCTCAGTCTTCATGGGTAGGGGTTCTGGCCACACCATCCAAGTCACAGAATGCAAAGGCAGAGACTGGGAAAAGGAAGATTCACCTACTGTAGGAGAAGAGCAGGTTAGAGGCCATCTAAAGAACTTGGAAGTGCACATGTCCATGGGACTGGAACAGGTTGTAGATGCCCCATCCCTGGAAGCGTTCAAGGCCAGGTTGGATGGGGCCCTGAGCAACCTGGTCTAGTGGGAGGTGTCCCTGCCCCTGCAGGGGGGTTGGAGCCTGATGTTCTTTAAGGACCCTTCCAACTCTAGCCTTTCTATGATTAGGACTCTATGAAAATATAAATCAATACGAGAACCCAAAAGTATTTACCAACTCCAAATACTGCAAACAGATGTGGTCAGCAGTTGTACACAAAAATGAAGGATCTTGAAAGACTCAGTCTCCAATACTTGGAAGTAATATAATCAATTAAAGGGATGAAGGAGAGTGGTACAGCTTCAATAAACTAGTAAGATAATTATATTAGAATGTGAACGAGATAGGCTCATAAATTTGACTAGGAGACTTTTGTTTCCAAGGCAGGAATTTCAGAATTACATTACTTTACAACCTAATAGGAAACTGTATGCTTTGGGGAAACTGACAATCCACAGCTCCTTTTGCTCAAATGAAGTAATACAGATGAGTACAAGCCTTACCACCTCACCTACCACACACATGTTTAGCCAATAATTGCTATATGAACACAAATTCAATCTCATCCTTGTTTCTAATGATAGAATTAATTAAGGAAAATAGCTACCTCTAAGTGCCTGGTTACAAGAAGTTAAACTCTGATCAGATACACCTGGCTCTGCATTTTGCAGCAAGTATTGTTTTTTTTCTCTTACTATGTGGCTAAAAAGGGTTAATAGCTACAATTATAAAAGTTTTTGTTTAGTATACTCCTTTCTGGTCACTCTTCTAGACAAAACAAAAATACTTGCACTCCTTAAAATACTGATCTGGCTGCAATGAGGGTAGTACATCCCAACTAGGGAGTATGGAATCAGGTTTTGCAGCTTAACTTTTAATTTCTTATGCAATTTTATGTCGTGAAAATAACACAGTAATCCCCATCTACATGAATTTTTCCAGCTTGTTTAGGGTGTACAAGCTCCAACCAATCTTCAAGGACAGGAGCACATGTTAACACATTCCCGATTTTCCTAGACTTCTTCAGAACACGATTTCCCAAAAAGGTCTTTTAGTTCATTCAAGAGTACCCATCACCTGCTCTGCAAGAAACTGCATCAAGAAGAACTTGTGAATGTTTATTTCCTCACAAACCCCAGGACAGCTCAACAGAACAAGGCCAAGACGGGCTCGACAGGACTCACCACCTGTTTTCCCCCACATCCGTATCTCACCTGGCTAAGCTCAGGCCCCTGAGGACCGCCAAGGAGCAGCAACCAGTAGCGCCCAGGTGCTACCACATAAATGTCGGCCACCAGCTCAGAGAAACCCTCGGCAAGCGCTGCTTCATCGCCATGAGCTCTGTCCCCCAGCCCTGCCGCCCGGCCCC